GGTGTACCTAATAAAGTGGCCGGTGAGTGTATACTATATATATAATCATTGCAATGCAACTATAGGACACGAATATATGGTGTATTTGTGTGTATGGTATATGTCTTTTGTTGTTGCACCGTCACGTGGCTCAGCAGCGCTAGCCAAACAGCTAAACTAACTAAGCAGGTAGGCTGGCTGGCTCACCCACTCAGCGTTCTCACAGAGCCCTCTACCTCAGATTTTGTTTTAAGTTGTGTTGAGTGATATTTTTAGTCTGTTTATTTACATAAAACAGAACTGTATTGAAAGGAAGAAAATTCCTTATTTTTTGTTTTTCCTGAGAATAACTTTATTTAATAAAATAAACAAAGAAATAACTAGGAAAGATGTCTAGTGGTGAGGGAAGAATTTTTATGTCATTTTTGTATAAAAGATTTATTACTGCTTTATTGTTGGCAAGCAAAAATATTGATTGTTATAATAAAGTATTTTGTTGTCACGTACAATGTTTGGTGAAATTCCATCCTAGATCTAGAGCTCTGCCATGAGGAAGTTTGGCTTAAAGACACGTCCCAGTAGAGTTTCTGGTCCCCACCTGTCGTTTTGCTCCTGAGCATGGCTACCTAAAAGCGCTGCAGGATTTCTCAAACATGCATGAATGAGTCAAAGCAAGGCTTTGGGCATGTTTTTGATGAGAGTACAACAATATAACATGATATAAACTCAAAGTTGATTTTACATGATATTGCCCCTTTAAAAAAGATTTTCTAGGGTTGCAGATGTCTGAGCTATATATTGCATGAAAAAGAAAATTGCTTTAAATAACTTAAGTTGCAGGTTATTCAGCTTGTTAGTGACTTGTTCAGACATGCCACTTCTACCAAACTTCAAAAGAAACCACACAAACCTTTCATATTATGCAATCAGGAAAACGAGTCGACACAGCAGCAGTTTCATTGTTCAGTTTTTTTTTTTTTTGACATCTTGTCAGATGGTGTTGCTCCTTAGGGTGCATATGCACATTACTTATTGTTGCAAAGTACTCTGCAAATAAAGAGTTGGATTAAAACAGGTTTGACAAGAAAAAAACAAACATGAGATTAATAAAAAATATGAGCTGACTCAACAAGGAAGAGAGAGTTTGAGCAACACATGATTCTGTCTGGGGCAAACACATACAGGAAGCAAATTAGAGAAATGTTACGAACGTCCGATGTCTATAAAAATATTATGGCACAGAGGTGAACTCTCACAGTGTGACTGGAAAACTGAGCATAACTTTCAGGTTCTTTGTGGTGAGTCTGATTCACTCACTCACTCCTTCAGCCTTACAGTAAACAAGGGCCTGCATGCTAGCTGTGATGTCACCAGGCTGGTGTGCTGAGCAGCTGAAGAGGAAGACCACACATACTTAGAGCAGCCTGCAAACAGCTGAGAGGGTGAAGAGTTGGATCATCACGCTGCAGCTCTGACATCTGTCAGATGAGGCTGAGCGGCAGAGGAGACACAGTCTGAAGCAGCGCTGCTGTCAGGCTCAAGCTGGAGAGGAGCTGCTTTCATTCCACAAATACTCAGTGGTAAGAAAAACTTTTCAGAGGAATGTTTTAACTTTCTCTTGCAGACAGAGGATTTCAGCTTGAGCACGAAGCTAAAATTCTTCACAGTTTAAGGGATGTGAACATGTGCGTGCATTTCCAAGCATGCCTGGTTGACTTAGTCTAGCAGCCAAAACAAAAATATTAGAACAATGTGATGAAATATTACACAATAATTAAAATACATATTATTTTAAATTTATTAAATCTGCTAAAAAATAAGTTTGACCGTAAAAATTGGTTGCTTTATTTCTGTTTTGCTTAATGAATATTTACAACTTAATTACTTAGCCTACCCTCATTTGTGAACATTTTTGCTGTACGCTGTTGTTTGAAGTGACCTTCAGCAATAGTTTCCAACTCTCTCTACAGAACACTTGAAATATTTTTTGTACAGATGTATTTCCTTAGATAACAGATATAAAAAAGTCACAAACTCAATGGATAGGTCAAAAAAATGTCAATTCAAATAGTTTTCTTCTGCTTGTCTTTCTATTATTTCATTCTCAGAGTTGTAAAGTAACTAAGTACAAATACTTTGTTATTGTACTTAAGTAGAATTTTTGGGTATCTGTACTTTACTTGAGTAATTATTTTTCAGCCTACTTTTTACTTCTGCTTCTTACATTTTCACACAATTATCTGTACTTTCTACTCCTTACATTTTAAAAAAGACAAGAGGTAAAACGTTGTTACTTTTATTTCATTTTTGCTTGTTTTCATTCCAGCTTGTTATTGTAAAAAATAAATGCTATACATACAAACTGTGCCTCCTAGATAGTGAATTTAATTGTGGTTGAATGAGAAGTATAAATATATAAAATTCTGATACCATATTAGTTTGTACACAAACAAATCATGGTACCCTCCAGTATGACATAAGCATTAAAAATAAAAGGACTGTACTTAAGAAGTATTTGTATTTCATGAATTATATTACTGCATTTGACTGCAGCCCTCGAATAGATTTTCATTTTGGGGAAAAGTTTTGGACACCCTTGATATACTGTATGTTTATAAACTTAAACTGGTTCATCTTTAATTTAACATAAATTAATTATTTTAATACGACAGTCATTTCTGCATTTTTTTGGGGGGAGGTCACCTCCTATATGTCATTAGGCCTACATAAAATCTAATTGCTCATTTTAAATCAATTCTTTAACGTTTAATACTTAAGTACAAAATATGTCAGATACTTTAAAACTTTTACTCAAGTAATATTCCTAAAGGACACTAACTTTTACCAAAGTAATTTTTTGGTAATATACTTGTACTTTTACTCAAGTATCACATTGTGGTACATTATACAACACTGTCCATTCTTCTGCTTTGAATTTATTGTTTTCTTTGCCAGTAAAAAAAATAGTAATAAATGTTTGAGACCTAAAATTCTATTTTTTGCACCAAACAAGTTGTAAAACGTTGTTAGCTCAGAACTTGACATATTTTAGAAGGATGTGGTGTGGCTCTCTTTATATCTTTGAAGCAACTTGTCGAGCACAGGACAAAGGAAGAAGTGACAAAACCCCAGCAGACACAACAGTATCTGAAAATGTTTCAAAAGAACTTGAAAACGAGTCAACAGATTAAGAAATACATCAGACAGGATCTCTGAGGTGCCTTTGGTCCTTAATATTTCTAAAGACAACTAGGCTGTTATTTTATGACGCTGTGTTTTGCATTGAAGAGCTTTCTCAAATCAAACTGAAAAGTCCCTATAATCACACTCGATCCACCGGTGCAAAGAGTTGATCCGTTTATGAGAGCTGAATCACCTTCTGAAGGGTACTTGTTAGCCTGGTTGGTTGCATGCGTGAAGGCACCGACTCATGAAACTGACCTAGGAGGAGATTTAGAACAGTGTTCTAAGTTCTGGAAAGATGCACAAAGTTCATTTAACATGAATGAAATTGCGGCAGATTTGAAGACTCGGAATGCTACACTTTTTAATTTGTATTGAAAAAATTAAAAGTTCTTACAAAAAAACTATTGTAAGTTTGTTTTGTTGGAGCATGTAGAAGTAACAAATCAAATATGAACTTACGAGTCTTTATGACAACGTAGAAGTGTTGACACATTGAGTTCAGGAGTCTTTTGTTAGGTTTCATGTTCTGAGTTATGGTATGTAGCTTCACACAGAATTAGGTCAGTTACAAAAGACTGAAATGAATAACAAAACTCTGTGACATAATTATACAATAAGCATGATGATGACATTAAAGCACTTAAACTTGGAAAAGTACAATCAGAAATAGTAAAGTTCAAAGGGTTCACTCTATAGTAATTTCTCCTGAGCAAAAACAAATGTTGTACTTACTGCCCTGACCAAATGTTTGTCACATGACAGGATGAAGATCTTGAAATGCTTATCTATTCAGTTTCCTCCTTAGTCTACACAGCAATAAAAATTAGGTTATCTCCAAAACAATCACCATCCCCCACACAATTTTTCATGCACTTGCATTTTACACAAATTTTGCCTGTTTCATCTTAAAATATTTCCTCTGTCTCAGCAGCTGGAACCAGAAATGGATCCCCTAAACATGACAGACGGCACACAGAACAGCTCCATGTGTCCCTCCATTGATGACTTCCGTAATCAAGTCTACTCTACGTCATACTCCTTAATATTTGTGTTGGGTTTTGTTGGGAACAGCTTTGCCCTGGCGGTGCTGATCAAGACGCTCCACCAGAGCTCTCCCTTCCATGTCTACATGATGAACTTGGCCTTGTCTGACCTGCTGTGTGTCATGACGTTGCCGCTGCGAGTTCTCTACTACGTGAGAAAGGGCCGGTGGGAGCAGGGGGATTTCCTGTGCCGCATCAGCTCCTACTTCCTCTACGTGAACTTGTACTGCAGCATTTACTTCATGACTGCCATGTCCGTCACACGCTTCCTGGCCATTGTGTTCCCCGTGAAGAACCTGCAGCTGGTGACAGTGAACCGTGCACGAATTGTGTGTTTGTGTATATGGATCTTTAGCAGCCTGACGTCCTCCCCCTTTTTGATGTCTGGTCAGCATGTTGACCCATCAACAAATAAAACCAAATGCTTTGAGCCACCAAAGCATGCAAGTAATCGTCTGCCAAAACTACAGGCACTGAACTATATGGGCCTGATATTAGGCTTTATCTTACCCTTCCTGATCATCATACTCTGCTACGCTGGCATCATTCGCACCCTGCTTTCTCGTACCCCGGCTACTCGCCGGCAGCATGGCTCAGCCCAAAAAGCCATAAAAATGATTGTCATCGTGCTGCTGACCTTCCTGGTCAGCTTCATGCCGTACCACGTGCAGCGGACAATCCATCTAAACTTCCTGTCTAAGGAAGGCACGTCCTGCTCAGAGCAAACCTTCATGCACAAGTTGGTTGTGGTGACTCTGTGCCTTGCCGCTTCAAACTCGTGCTTCGACCCACTGCTCTATTTCTTCTCAGGTGAGGGTTTTCGCAGCCGCCTGTCCTCACTGCGCCAGACGATGAGAAACAGCACCATGCACCGTTCAGTCAAACTGAAACCCATAAGCTCAGCAAATGGAGAAAACCACCAGTTAGATGCCAACTAAACTTTAACAGGTCCACCGGTTATGGAACAAGCAGACCAGGATGTCTTTGAGGGTTTTTTTTATTGGTTCCATTAAAAAAAGAAAACAAACTGCAGAGAATTGATTTCTTTTTCAACAGCCTGTGGGCTGACACAAAGCCCTGTCACTCATTTAATGTGGAAGACTGTGAAGGTAATTTAGTTTTTTTATTATTATTCAAAAAAAACAAAAAAGTAGTTTCAATAAAAAAAATCAACCAGTCAGAACAATTATTTTAACCCGAGTCTGTGTTTTTGAATTATTTTAATAATTTAAGCTCCATTGTTTGTAAAATATGAAAGTTTAAAATAATATTTACTGTATTCACCTCTGATTTTGATGAGCCTTTCAGGTAAATTCTATCGCTTAGAGCTCCAGCTGACAGAAACTTGATCCTAATCCCATGGCTAGTTTAATAGTTGGATTTTGGTTTTATAGGATTTAATATATTCTACTCTCACATGAAAGTGTCAGGAAATGTTAATCGCACCACAGAGATCAGCTGATTGAGCAGACCCAGAAAAATCTGTTGTCAGGATGTTAGCAACTGTTAGCAATGTCTGGGGCAACCATTAGCTACAGCCTGTATCTCCCTGTGAGATTTCCATGTCAGCTTTTCATCAATAATAACACCCAAAAACTTCACTTCACAGACTCTACAAATCTCAACACCATCAATTCTAAATGGAACATCTACAGTTCTCTTTTCTTTTTCATTTTTTTTTTTTACTAAATATCATATAATTAGTTTTATCCAAATTTAGTGACAATTTATTAAGATTAAACCAGGTTTGTATTTTTACAAATTCTGTTTGCATTATTTCCATCATACGTTGTATATCATTACCAAAACAAAAAAAGTGGTGTTATCAGCAAATAAAAAATATTTAAACACCCCTGACACTCTATGGTGTCAAATGATTTCCTTAAATCTGCATAATTGCTAGCACAATACTGTTTTTGATCAACAGCAGTTGTTATTTGTTCTATAAGTTCCATGAGTGCCACTGATGTAGAATCATTGGGCCTCATGCAAGAACATGTTCATATTCTTATCCTAAATTTCTCTTACTTTTGTTCGTACAAAGGGTTCGTACGAACATGTCACATGTCAGATTCAACAAACTCTTCTATCTTCAGGAAAAGGGTGTAAATGAGCTGCATAAATTCCACCTGTTCGTATCCAGCTGCTCGTGCACGCAAGAGGAGATTAGCATAATTACCACCCCAAAAACACCATATAAGGTATGGCTATATTTCCTGCCTCAGCTACAAGGAAGTGTCCATTCATGAAAAATGACAGCGATAATTAAAAAGAAAAACTTTACGAG